GCGATTAAATACCTCCTATATGACTTGTTAGATACAAGGATTGTCGAATAGTCGCTCAAGATCAACTTTATGTAAAAAAACTTCCAATTTCGTAAGTGACACGAAAAATCTCAGGGGGGCAATGGCCCCCACTGGCCCCTCCCTCCGGGCGTCCCTGATACAATGATATAATATCATTGGATTCAAATTTAATTCCATCTATTACAGTAACCCACTTGTAACCTACTGTACAGCAGAGCGACATACACGACTTACCCGCCTTTTTGGAATTACATTCAATTTTTAGTTTAAAACCAGTATCTCATTTATCGTTTATCTTCATAATGATCCGCTCAGAATATAAGCGATTTTATTAATTGACCAAAAATATAAAGGTATATCAATCAATAACTTATCTAAATCATAGTTCATGATTTCAATACTTAATTTAAATAATTTGGTCAACATTTTAGCTTTAAATATAGATTTTTTGAAATAAAATTGTTTTATAATTTATGCTTTTACTAATTAAATGTTGTGATTTTATCATTATATAATATATTATTGTATATATTTGTTGCTATAACAGTAATTAACACTAGGTTCATGAAATAGATAATAAATCAGTGGCGTGGCGTGCATATAAACAGTAGGTATAAGCGTTGCTTACAATTTCAGTTGTAAMCCGTTGTAGGTAGTGATGGGCGGCAACGAATAAAAACTATCAAATTATTTAATACTTTCCCCAAATAARATATTCGAATAGTCGTTATAAATTATTCGAATATTCAATTTGTAAATTCTAAATACTACCTATAAAAAAGTATGTACAGTATAATAATATGCCAAGGTATGTATAATTATTTTATTTATACAAGGAAAAAAGTAACACTAAAATTAAATGTTTACGGAAGATCGAATATCTACAATGATGATTGATAAATTTAYTATGTCATAAATTACAGTGAGTTCCACATAATTTGATTATTGGTTTATCAAATCAATTGTTTGCCTCAACCATTGTACTAATTGTATAATATTTATATTTACTTCATGGCTTTATCATAAATTTGAATAATTTTGTAACTAATCATGTTTAAAATTATCCGAATAATTTGTATATGTTTTTTGTTATTTTACCATACAATTAATTATTTGAATAATTTTTTAATTAAATACGTTATTCAGTTATACAATTTATTATTCGAATAATTATTCGTTAGTACAAATTATTCGTCACCGCTCATTACTAGTTGTAGGTTCTATCAAATTCTAATAATTTTAAAATAAAATAGATTTATCATTAATTATTATGGTACTCGTCAAATATGCTACCTACCGTTACTCCGTYGGTGTAGTATGCTACCTACCATAAAATAATAACAAATTAAAACAATTTATTACTAAATAATTTATTTACCGTTTTCAAGTACTTCATAATATTTCAATACGTCATTATATATTATTATACATTATATACTATTTTTTTATAATATAGCAATTCGTCATTATATATTAATATATTATTATACATTTATACATCATATATTATTTTTATATCATTCCAGAAAATTTCTAATAAATCGTGTTGGGTATTAATGAACCGCCACCATTCTTCTATTAATTGCCGGTCTAACAAATCTGTTGTTCTTTGGGTTTTAATTCCGTATTTAGTTTTAACATGCCTCCATATATACACTCGATCGTTTGTGTTTGGGCGCGTTGTAGGATCAACAAAACACTCGGAATGATTGACGGTTTCGTGGTGATAACTTATATCTTTTAAGGTACTACTCGCCATTGATCTGAATAAATAATTGATCCTAGTTCTATTTCATTTTGTATTATTGGTAAAAACTAAAAAATTTGCCTAACTATGGTAGGTAGCATACTACACGGCACCCGCATACAGTGTTTTGGTAGATACCATTTTATGGGTAGGTAGCATATTAAACGAGTACCATTATTATTTTTACTGTAATTTGTGAGAAATCTAAAAATAACATAGGTAGTTTCAGGCATTCCAGCCGTCGGTTGATGACAATAAGCCGAGTATCGCTTATACTCGGCATAATATCCCCCGAACATCAGCAAACACATCACAGTTCAATATTTCAATAAATTCTTTTATTATAAATTTCTTTTCTATAAATATGATAAATATACGTCAGACAAGACAGCGTGTAAGCGATTCCAATTTCCTTTCCTATTTTGAATAAGGGACTACTACTACTTCAGTAAGTTTATACTAATAGACCCAAGATCAATAAATTATAATCTCTAAACCTTGTAAAAGACGGGCCCTCTTCACTTTTCCACCGTGTGATCTATGATATGTGGCGCTTTTCGGTTACTGAGTCACTCAGTTACTCTGATACGGTCATAGATAATTAAGTAATGGATGATGGGCWATGCTTATGCTATACTATAATCATGAAGATTAGAAA